AAAAGAAAGAAATCAACAAGACTTTACTGTAAAATTTCTCTGCTACATACTGTATTATATCAATAAATTTAGGATGGATACATTGTATTTATCCTTTGTTATGTTGAAATAACCAAGGAAAACATCACATTTTAACTGTTCTTATATGTCTTTACGCTTCTTATGCATTTAAAAGTCTGTTTTGAAGTTTATTACTTGAATGGAGATGGTTACATATCTCGAGAGAAGATATTTGACATGCTGAAGAACAGTATACACCAAGAGTCATATGAAGAAGAGACTGATGAAGGAATAAGAGAGTTGGTAGATATAATACTTACAAAAATGGTAAGAATGAAAAACTATAATGCATTATATTCATTCAAGTACAATGTTATATAAAACTAAAAAAAATGGTTTCTTTTTCTTCATAATGAATATAACTTATAAAAGCAGGAGTTTTTGTGTTTTCTGTTCTGTCTGTTGTACAAGTGACTGGCTGGTGTGGGTACTCATTACTATTTGTAGAATAGCTGAATGATTAAATCACTATTCAAAATATGTTAGCTCAGCAGACTAAGCGCTTCCTTAGGTAAGTGCAGGGCCAGGGTTTGATCCCTGGCACCACATGCCATGCTGCACTGGCTCCGCCCCTGGGTGCACTGAGCCAGTGATGGAGTCCGGGCTTGGTGACACCTGTAATCCCAGCACGAGGGAGGCAGAAAACAGGAGGATCACTATGAATCCAAGCTATGTAGTGAGACCTTGCAAGGATACTTTTTTTTACAGTAACAGGGATCAAACCCAGGGCTTGATCCTTGGCTAGCACTCTAGCCAAGTGCTCTACCACTGAGTCATATCCCCAGTCCTCAAGTGTTTATTGAATATTTGTCATTGGTACGTTTTCAGCACATGATTCTCCTTGTGACTTGATTCATATACAAACATACCCAAATTCTTTTTTTGTGTATGTGGTACCAGGGATTGAACTCAGGACCCTGAGCTTGCTAGGCAAGTGGTTATTCTACTAAGCTATCTCCCCAGCCCTAAATTCTTCCTTTATGCCCTCTCTTTCCCTTGCTTATTCCCCATCCCTTTGTTCCCTTCTTCTTTTGCAAAAGACATGACTCCCTATATATTTCACTCTTTGTATTGCAAGTTTTTCCATATAAGAGAAACTGATATCCAAGACTGTATCATTTATTTCACTTAACATTATGGACTCAAGGGTGCATCCAGTTTTGCTACAAATGACTCGTTTATCCTTCTCTAAGGCACAGTAGAAATTCATTCTAAATACATTTTCTTGCCAAGTGTGGTGGCATACGCCTATAATCCCAGCACTCAGGAGGCTAGGCAGGATCAGTTTAAGACCATCCCGAGCTGTTGGACTTGTAGACTGCTTCCAAGACCTAGCTATTATAAGCTTTACTGCTATAAACATGGGTATGCATATGTCACTGTGTACAGTGATAACTTTAGCTCTGTGAGGAAGATACTCAGAAGAGATATGGCTGAGGCAAACAGAATGTCTAGTAGTTTTCTGAGGAATCTCTATAATGGTGGCTCAACTAATTTTACATTCCCACCCACAGTACAGAAGTGTTTTTTCCACAGGTTTTTGTTATTTGTGATTTATTGTGATAGCTTCTGGATTAAGTTGGAATCTTAAAGTGTTATTTTAATTTGCATCTCTCTAATAGGCAGAGATGTTGAACTTTTTTTTTTTTTTTTTTTTTTGCTGGCCACTTGTATATCTGAGAAGTGTCTGTTCAATTGAGCTGTCCATTTAATTGGGTGGTCTTCTTTTTTTTCTTTTGTTCTTTATATAATGTAAATATTGGTCCTGGGGGAATAACTGGGAAGATTTGATTTTTCCATTCTGTATGTTTTCTCTTTATTCTGTTTTTTGTTACACAGAAGCTTTTTAATTTGATATAATCCCATTTGTTGTTTAGAAAGTTCTTGCATATAACCTGTCATCAAGAGTTTTACCTATTTTAGCTTCTAGCAGATTGTTTGTTTTAACATTTAGATCTTTGATCCATTTTTATTTTAGTTTGAACTATTTTGGTGAGTTTAGATTCAATCTTTTGTATGTGCATAGGTAGTTTTCAGAGCACCAAATTTATTTTATTTTTTGTGGCACCAGGGATTGAACTCAGGACCTTGCACTTGCCAGGCAAGCACTTATTCTACTGAGCTATCTCCCTGGCCCCTGACAACACCATTTGTTAAAACAGGATGTTTCATATGGTCTTCCCTTTGTCAAAGATGAGATAGCTAAATATAATGAATACATAGGTGGCTGTTTCTGCATCCTCTACTCTGTTCCAATGATCCTTGTGCTTCTGTGCCAGTATCATACTATTTTTAAGTCACTGTGGCTTTGTAATGTATCTTGAAGTCTGGGATAGTGATGCTTCCTGCTTTACTCTTGTTGTCCAGGATTGCTTCTGCTATTCTGGGTCTTTACTGGTTCCATCTCAATTTCAGGTTTGCTTTCTCTGGTTAGGTGAAAAATAGTGTTGGTATTTTGACTGGTATTGCATTAAATCTGTTTATTAGTTTGGAGAGCATAGCCATCTTGACAATGTTGGTCATGACTATCCAAGAACAGAGGATCTCTATTTTCTGGTGTCCTTTTGATCTCCTTCAGAGTAGTATAGTTTTCACTGTAGAGGTCTTTCACTTCCTTGGTTAGGTTATTCCTAAGTAGGTTTTTTTTGACGTTATTGTGAATGTTACTGTTTTCTCTAATTTCTTCCTTAGTGAGTTATTTGTTGCTTGTTTTTAATGTACTTGGTACAGGGTCTCCCTATGCAGCTCAGACTCATAGTGATCCTCCTGTTTTCAGCCTCTCCAGAGCTAGGATTACAGGCGTGCACCTCCACGCCTGGACTGTGAGTTCACTATTCATATACAAGAATGTTACTGATTTTTGTGGGGTTTTTTGGAGCCCAGGCTGGTCTCAGACTTGTAATGGTTGGTCCTCCTGCCTCAGCCCCTTTGAGTGCTGGGATTACAGGTGTGCGCCACAATGTCCAGTTTTGTGTTGATTTTTGTATCCTGGTACACTGCTAAATTTGATTATTGATTCTAGGAGTCTTTTGGCAAAATACTTTGGGTCTTCTCTTTAGAGGTTGTGTCTGCAAATAACATAACTGCTTCCTTTCCTATACATATTTTACTCCCTTGCCTGATTTGTCTGCCTTTTTCAAGAACTATGCTGAACAGGAGTGAAGATCCCTGTCTTGCTTCTGATTTTAGAGGGAAAGCTGTTAGCTTTTCATTTAATATGATGCTTAACTTTAAAATATTTTACTATCATTGAGACCTCATTAACTTGAGGGGGAGCTAGGTTCAATTCATGTAAAATTGGGTCCTACTTTGTCTTCATGATCTCTGCCTTTCAACCCATCTAACTCCTTACTATAACAAAATAACAAAAGTACTTGACTTACATAGAGTACCCATACTGTACATATGCCAGGCCCTTCAGAAAACTTTAATGTATTCACTTTTTCCTCAAAACAATAAAGATGACAAAACGTAGAGAAAAGTCACACTAGAAAATGTTATGCAGAAGTCATCTCTCAATAGAATCCAGAGTAGTCCTTCTTTGTGAACTGAGTGATTTCCACCTAACTTCTCACTATGACCCTAAACTGGATGCAGTGAGATTTTGTGAATCCAAGGCATTGGTGGCCCAGTTCAGCTCACTAATATGACCCTCAGACTCAGGAAAGAAACTGAGTGGGGACTTGGCAGTCACTATGCAGGCTCCAGAGTATTCTCTTCTTTTAAGAATAATTTCATGGGTTGGTGAGGTAGCTCAGTGGACTGACTGCCTACCTAGACAAGCGCAGGGCCCGGGGTTTGATCCCAGGAACCATATGCCATGCTGGCCCTGGTCCCAGACATGCTGAGCCGCTGTCTGGCATACTGGTGCATGCCTGTAATCCCATTGCTGGGAAGGCTGAAAACAGGAGGATCACTGAGTCCAAGCTGCACAGTGAAACCCTGTACAAAATATAGAAATTGTAAAAAGTAATAATAATTTCACTAGCCACTGCTACAGCTGCATGCATTTGTCTTCTTCAGACAGCATCCTCTGCGGTACTGTCCACACTCTTCTCTTTTAAGGGAAATGTTTATGAAATAAACCTTGTTTCTGACAATGACTACAAGTTTTGTCTAGATAAGACTTTCAGCAGCCCTGATGCAGTTATACCCAGAAGTAAAAAAGCAACTCTTCTTGGTCAATCCAGTTCAGTTAAGCACTGAAGGTATTTGTAGTCTATAATACAAGTCCTCCTCTGTCCCATCCTGCATGGCATAACATGCTTTCTAAGCCCTGTCCTGAATGCTTTGCTGACTCACACAATGCCTATTACTATGGGCCATTCTTCCGTACTCTGTCCCTAACAACACTCTGTCATCCACAGATTAATCATGCTTAAAGGCCCAGCCTATTGGCTTCATTTAATTACTCTAGCCCATCCCAAACAATTACTGCTGTAAACTCCTAGTGACTTTTCAATAAAGCAACTTCACTTCTATCCTTTCTACCTGCTGAGCTCCCAAGTTTGAGATTCTTTGAGGAACAAATTCTACAAAAATTTAGCTTGAATATCTTTGTTGTCTTGCACTTACTGCCTCACAGGAGCAGTGTAATAAGAGACTTCCTATAATTTCTTGTTATTTAGGCATGGTCACATTTTACACAGCTAAGTAGGTAAGGTATGCCTATTAAAATTAAGAAGTGGGGCTGGGGAGATAGCTTGGCAGCATTATGCTCCTGCCTGGCAAACACAAGGTACTGCATGCCATGCCAGCCCCAGAACTGGGCTTGGTGGTACACGCCTGCAGTCCCAGCACTAGGGAGGCTGAGACAGGACGATCACTATGAATCCAAACTGCATAGTGAGACCTGTATTAAAACACGAAGTGAAAGGGCCAGCCTGATCGCTCAGTGGACTAAAGCACCTGTTTAGGCAGAGCCCAGTGGCCAGGGTTCAAGGCCCAGCATGCCGTGCCGGCCCCACCCACAGGACGTGCTGAGGTGGTGATTGAGACTGGGCATGGTAGTGCGCACCTATAATCCCAGAGCTTGAGAGGCTGAAAACAGGAGAATCACTATGAGTCCAATCTGTGTAGTGAGACCCTGTAGACAATGTCCTAAATACAGAAACAAAACAAACAAAAAAGTAAAAGGTGGCCTCTCTAAATAAATACCTTTTAATCTGTATAAATATCTTCTTCAGAAATGTAAAATTAACAGTTTTGCTTATAAAACCTTTTAGTGTAGGCAGCTATTTTCCATGACAATATTAAAAAGGCTATCATTTATGAAAAAGTCACCTTCCTCTCTAGGATTATGACAACGATGGCAAGGTATCTTTCACAGACTTTGAAAAAGCAGTGAGACAAGACAAACTTCTGTTGGAGGTGTTTGGGCCATGTTTACCAGAAGCAAAGGTATAGTTCTATGAAAGCCCACTTGTGCTTTTCATGCATGAATCTGACAAATCTGAACTGAGATCAACCTAGTAATTGATTTGGCTCATAAAACTTCTTTGGGGGCCGAGGAGATGGCTCAGTGGAATAAGTGCTTCCCTGGCAAGTGCAAAGGCCTGAGTTCAATCCCTGGTTCCACAAAAAAACAAACAAACAAACAAACAAAACACTCTTTAAAAAAAAAAAACAAACTTCTTTGGTCTTCCTTCGATCAACTATACTTTTCAAACATATGATACACAAACTTTATTGTAAGAGTATGCAAATTAACATGCATGTTGGTAAGCTCTCCTCATTCATCTCAGTCCTTCCTTTAATTTATCCCATTGTAATTTATTTCCTAGACCCCATATCCAAGTTTTGTGTGGAAATGTGTGCTAAAAAGCAATGTAAGAGAGGCAGGTTTCTAGTTGTAAGACACTGCTGTGAAAACAGCACAGCAAAGTGGACTGAAGTAACTGCTTAGGATGAAACAGCCAACAGTTCTTACTTTGACAGAGGGTCTCACTAAGTCACTAAGCTGCCCAGCCTAGGCTGGAACCTGGAGCTTCCTACCTCAGCCTGCAGAGCACTGGGATAACAGGTGTGTGCCACTGTGCTAGCCAGCAGTTCTCCAGCTGTGACAATTATCTAAAGCCCTGTCCTTCAAAATGTGCTCTGTGAACTAGCAGCAGTGGCATTTCCTACAACTTGTGAAAAATCCAGAATCTCAGCCTATACACAAAACTAAGTGAATCACAATTTACTATTGTTGTTACTTGACGTAACCAAAGTTTATCACTTTCAAATGCTGGATGTGTCTGTCAGTAGAGATGAGAAAGAAAGTGAGCTCCTCAGGAAAAGAGAATCCATCAATATCTGCTGCCATGCAATCTATCAGGAAATTTTTTAGATTGTCATAAAATCTAATAGAAAGTTTACCACGTTAACCTTTTAAAACTGTACATGTCAGTTATTATCAGCAGAACAGGGTCATACAACCAATCTCCACAATTCTTTTCAATTTGCAAAACTGAAAGCCTATACTCCCATTAAACAACTCCTCATTCTTCCTCTCTACATATAAGAATCTACATTTAAAAGAGATCCTAAGGAGATTCACAGCATCCTAACAGCTAAGAAGCCTTATTTGGACAGCAATTGTTCTTTCCAACTCTTAGGTCTTTGCTTGTGATTTCACAAGGAAATAGAACCTAACTCCTTGCTTTCAAGATTCTTCTAGTACTCCCACTATTTAGAGCCATTCTAGAAACTCTGATTATATCATGATAGCTGAAGTAAACCTTATTCACTGATATGTTCAAATCCATCCCTTAGACAAGAAGCCCTTCAGGACAGGGCAAAATGAAACACAGACACTGCACAGTGAGTGTGAGCCTTCTTAAGTTATTTTTATCAGTAGAGAAAATGGAAACCATCTGGGTGAGATCAGATTTCAAATTATGTGCTCACTGACAAAATGTAGATATGCTTAAAGTACAGTGGTCAAAGTCTAGAATTTCTGGGGCTGGGGAGATTGCACAGTAGAATAAGTGCTTCCCTGGCAAGCACAAGGGTCTGAGTTCAATCCCTGGTTCCGCAAAAAAAAAAAAAAAAAAAAAAAATCTAGAATTTCCAAAACTGATTTTTTGATTGCTACAGATCAAGTAAATTTTTAATTTTTTAAAAATCATGTAAGCTTCTAATTTCTTTTTTTTCTTTTTGGTGGAATCGGGGATTGAACTCAGGCCCTTGGCACTTGCCAGGGAAGCGCCTATTCCACTAAGCCATCTCCCTGGCCCCTCTAACTTCAACTTGTAATAATTTATTAACTTTCTTATTTTATAGAATTGCCTTCATTTTGAAGCCCTGGCTTTCAGAAACATCATGACTTACAGTTTTTGAATGTGAACTGCTCAGTATTTCTATTAAAACAAGAAACAGATACGGGTTTCCTCTCTTTTATTTGTATGGTAAAGTGCCTATACTGCCTTCAATTTACATGTTGTTATAATGTGGAAGGTAATGTTATATAATATGAACAAAGTAAGTATAAATTATAAATATATAAAACTATATCAGATGAAGTTTGAATGAAATTATAAAATGGTATGCATTAAAAAAAATACATGGAAAAAAAATATTTGGCTAAAGCAGGACGATCACTGCAAGTTCAAGGCCAGCATAAACTATAGCATGAGACCCTGTCTTAGGGAGAAAGAGAGAGCAAAAGAGGGAAAGAGAGGGGAGGGAAGGAGGGAGGGAGGGAAGGAGAGGGAGGGAGGGAGAAGAGGGAAGGAGAGGGGGTAAGGGAGGGAGAGGGAGAGAGAGAGGGAGAGAGGGAGAGAGAGAGAGGGAGAGAGAGAGAATGAATGAATACTAACTTGCTCCTGGCAATCTATATTCTTCTTCTTTGTTTTAATGGATGGCTTGCACATACAGCTTCCGACTTATCTTCTGGAGGCTTTGGCACAGATGAAATTACCTAGTTTAAAAAGAAAAGAAAACCACCAAAACTTAGGTTTCATAATGTAAAATTAAATCAGTTAGAAGAGGTAGGATATACACCTAGTTAGCTAGTCCTTGCTCTCTCATCACTTGTGAGAGAGTTGGTCCACATTCTAGATACAGCCTATGTCCTAGGCACAAAGCAAAGTCTCCTGTCCAAATATTGATGGGAGTAAAATTTCCATAGCCATTTATAAGAAAATAATACTGGAGGAAGGGTAGTGCATTACAGCATTTCCTTAGCACATGCAAGTCCCTAAGTTTGATACTAAGATGAAAAAAAAGCTTTTGTAGGGAGAAAAGTAAACATACACTCTGTAGCACTTTTAAATAATTTAAAGTTACCTATTTTTTGACTACAAATAGATATGCCAGTTTTGCATTTTTGAAACACAAGATAATATATGATAGAGACATGAAATGCCTAGAAGAATAAAAAATTTGGATAAATGGGCAGAAAATTATACAATTCTCAATTTCCTAGCAGAAAAATGGGCAACAAACATGCCAGAAAAACTGGAAAATAAATCAAAGCAGAATAACACAGTCTTCATCTGAAATGGAAAATTATTAGATACTGTGGTAAATCCTACAAAATACTTGTTTTTCTATTATTTCTGTGTCTAAGAGTTAGACTTCATACTCTGAAAATGCAGTCAGTTCTAGCTGAGACAGCTATATATTTATAAGTGTCTCAGGTTAGCTATTCCTGAAGAAGTAAAGTGCCAGAATAAACTGAAAATTTAAGAAGGCTTAAACATTAAAAACTGTATCTACAGGTTTTTAGTATTATTTTGGTAGTTTTAGGCAATAATTTTCAGATTAAAAATATAACTGTAAAAGAAATCAGACTTTTAAATCACACCATAAAATTTATGTGCAACAATGTGAAAAGCTCTTTATGAACCCTGCCAATAAATATGAGAAAAGGCATGGCCCTCAGTTTATCATTTCTACCACCTACCCCCTCCCAAAGATGTCTTTCCATAGCTAATTCAGCAGGAGGTTGAGGCAGGTTTGCTGAGAGTCTGAGGTCAGTCTCCGCTACACATTAACTTCAAGACTAGCCTGAATCAGACAGCGAGATCCTGTCTTAAAAAAAAAAAAAAGCTAGTTCAAATATTAACTTTTTCTATGCTTAAGATAGAATGATTATATTAATAATGTTAAAAGACAACCTAAGTAGCACACTCCAGTTTGTTTGGTTTTTTGTGGATCTGGGGATTGAACTCAGGCCCTTGCACTTGCCAGGCAAGCACTTGTTCTACTGAGCCATCTCCCCAGACCCAACACACTCTAGTTCTAGTTCTCTTTTTAAAAAAACTTTTCACTTCAAATGCAGACGTAAAAACAATGCAAAGACCCAATCTTTAGATATTTGACCTTCTTCTACAGCTGTTTTTATCATAGGAACAAAATAATCATTTTAAATTTGACTTTGAATTTAAGAGAATTTACATTAATTTTCTTTCTTAGCTTTGATTCATATTATAATTACCTGAGGAGCTGTTAAAAAGGGGGCCTAGAACTCACTACCTGGCAGATTGATTTAACTGACTGAAACTACTTAGTGTTTTTGCATCTAGAATGATACAAAAATATCTTCATTGTTTTTTTTTTTTTTTT